GGATGTCTGCGGGGAGCAGGCGGCGGAACCCCAGACGGCACGTTGCCATCGGGAGGCTCGGCACCGCCTCCCCCTTGGGTGCACAGGCATCCCGGGCACCGTCCGGGGGTCTCACCGGCGCCGCTGCTTTCTCCGCGTGCCCAGGGGAAGGCAGGAGTTGTCTCCGGGCTGACAGATGGCAGAGAGCGCCCTGCAGTGCTGCCCTCAGCCCGCGGCCGGTCTCTGACCGCATCCTCTGGCACTGCGGGCCGGCGGCTCACCTCGTTGCTTCTCAAACGCAGGGGTAGTGTCGCCTTGTTCTAGGGAAAGGCTTTCCTCTGCCGTAAGGTAAAGATGCAGGACTTCGTGGATTTTCATTTTAAGTATTGGGATGGTCTAAGGAAACCGTTTTGGCTACTATTCCTGGGTATGGCCTTACTATTCCTTAATAAAATAATTAGTATTGTCTGCCATTATGAATTCAGAGGTGAGGATCATTCATGACTGGTGTTAATTTTTTTTCCCATCTATACCCCATATGGATGCAAACAGGGGGAATAGACTCCCTGCATACATCTGAATGAGATTTATTTTTTCTGTATTAAAACCTGTTACAAAGTTTTCAGTCTGTTGTTTGTCTGTGGTAAGATAATCACTGTTTCTGCGGATAAATACTGTAAAATTATTAGGTGCCATACTAAGTTGAGCAATAATCTTCTCTTGAAGTCAACAAAAATTATGAATACTTCCATGTGCTTATTTTTATTGTGTTAATTTTAGTAGTATTAAAAATGGGTGGTAAAAATATTGAAGTAGAATAAGTAAATATAAATATGCTGGTTTCTATAATGAGTTTCTTGTTATGGAAGCCTAGCAAGCGAGTGCTGCTTTGGTGCATGTTGCTCTGTTACAGTCCTTCTCAGTATAAGTATGCTAGAGAGAGATGAAGTCTTTTCACAGTGTGGTAACATGTCTTTTTTTTTTTTTAATTTTACAGAACTATCATGACATCATGTCTTGCCACCCAGAAAACTTTCAGTGGGAGCACTGGAGCTTTGAAAATGTTGCTACCATACTTGCTCGCCGGTTCCCGAATAGCTTTATTTGGGTTGTAAAGTGTTCTCGAATGCACCTGCACAAATTCAGTTGTTATGACAACTTTGTGGCAAGCAACATGTTTGGAGCACCAGAGCACAGCACTGATTTTGGAGCTTTCAAGCATCTCCATGCATTGCTATTTAATGCTTTCAGACTCTCTCAGAATATTCTGCTGTCCCAGAAAAGCGTGCATGGTGTCAGCAAGGATGCAAAAATAGCTGCTTGTAAATCACAGCCGCAGTCTGTTCCTACAACAAATGGCTGCTCGTCCACAGAAAGAGAGAGAGATTGTGAATGCTCTAATAATTCTGCTATGAACTTCGTTGTACCGTCTGCTGTAGGTGCAGTGTCGTTTACTTTGATTGGCTTCAGTAAAGGTTGTGTGGTTTTGAACCAGCTGCTTTATGAGCTCAAGGAAGCTAAGAAAGACAAGAATACAGATGCCTTCTTAAAAAACATAAAAGCAATTTACTGGCTGGATGGTGGTCACTCGGGAGGAAGCAATACTTGGGTTACTTACCCTGAAGTGCTGAAAGAACTTGCACAGACAGGAATTGAAGTTCATGCTCATGTTACACCATACCAAGTGTTTGATACAATGAGGTCATGGATTGGGAGAGAGCATGAGAAATTTGTACAGATACTTGAAGAATTTGGTGTGGAAATAAATGATCAACTACATTTTGCTGATGATGTTCCCTCCTTAGATAACCATTTCAGAGTTCATGAAGTATTTTGAGACTGCATGTATCTGGATAGTACATTCATTGCAAAAGCACTTTGGACACTCTAAAGGTTGTCATCCAGATATACAGTTTTGAGCAGACACTTTATGAAGAGAATACTGAATCAGCCCTTTGTTGCTAGTAGATAGTATATAGAAATTTCAGTAGGGGATTGGGACCCCATGCCTACCACAGATTTCATCATTTGATTCCTGGGAAAAAAGTGTTGTGAAGAACTAGCCTATACATGGGGTTTTTTGTTAAATGTGAATGTTTATTCTCAAACCGTTGGCAGAATTTTTACTCCTGGGTGTGTAGTGTCATATACTGCCTTTAATGGGAGTTTAAAGTAATCAAGACTTTCAGATGTCTGGCTGCTTCAATTCAGGAGCTTCCAGGGCTAAAAACTTTGGTCTTTGTCATTACTAGATGTAATGTTTGGTTTTTGGCTTAAGGAAAACGATGATTGTTAGAACAATTTTAGTTATATATTTTGGTGAAAACTGTTTTAATTAGTTAATGTTACATACTGGAAGATTTAATTTCTCCTAATTGAAACAAAGTTGAAAATCTTTACCTTTGGAATAATAGTGCCAATCCAGTTTTCTTCCTTACCTGCACCTTGATTTTTCTGTCGCTTTAAAGATTCATTAATTCATTGTTTAGTATCTGCTAGCGAATAGCCATTTCACCTGGGAGCTTGAGAATTTTGACACAGCTGTTAAATGACCAAGAATGTGGGTGAGGGTGTAGCTTACTGCTGTTTCAGCATACCTTGCTATTGCTTCGACTGACTCCTGTAAGGACCAGCAGTAATACCTGTATTTTCAAGTCAAGAGGTGTCTTTATCCCTGCCTTGGACTGATGAGGTTTTTTTCTTGCTAATTGCTGTGTGGATGTTGATCTAAATCAAGCCATAAGTACGTAATGTATTACAAGTTGCCTAAAAAGTTTTAGACTGTGTTGACTGTAGCTATTTCAAAATGCTTCTGGTTTTAGAACTGTTATCTCCTTTAAATGTATTGCAGTAGTTGCTTCTAGAGCCACTCAAAGGCTATATTCAGAGCCTAATTTTTTGTACAGGAATCAAACAACCCACTAATTAAATGGAAAGCTGGACAAATCAGATACAAAAGATGTAATCTAGTTCAGGCCCCAAACCTGAATGTTCAAACTGGAAAGAATTACTGGAAGATGGACAAACAAGGGTATTAGTGGAACTTGTCTACTGTTGTAACTTGACATTTATCTACAAATAAATCTTAGAATCACTCTGAAAGACAACTGCAGCTGTTACCAATTAACCAGTAGCTTAAAATGGTTTTGGATTTCCTCGAAGTATAGAAATACAAAAGCAAGTTAGCAAAACACTGTGACGATCACACAAACAAATGTGGCTCAGTTCTGAAAAAAGGCACTTTATTCAACTTTGGCCCTATGTTTGATGGCTTAGCAACATCTCCCTGGTTCTTACTTCCTCTGACTCTTGACATTATACAAGGAAAGCTGTGTGTTGTCTTTCTTCTGTTGGCATCGTTAAAACTTAAAAGGTTCTCCGGAGACAGCATTTTCACAACTCTTGCTGAGGTTGTGCACATTAGTGACCGCTGAAGAATGAGAAGTATGTTGAACTCTTAAGAAAATTTTGTTAATACTCAAAATATTAGGGGTAGTAGAAAGGATTATGCATAGGGTGTGCACCTTACAATGGGAAAGGGAACTCTTAGCCTAATAGACCTAGTTGATCAAAAGGGGAAATAGGCTATTTTAATTGATGGAGAAGAGTGCCACATGCAACCCAATTGTAATATTTTATAAAAGAACCTGAAATATAGTTCCAGCTGCCTTTTTTTTTTTTTTTACTTTGTTCAATCGTGTTTAATGATTACCTTCTTAATGGGCTTGTAACAACTTGTTTAAGTGTTCCAAGGAAGGCTATTTCTGGTTTTTGGTCCTTTTGATAATGCAGCGTATGCGAGGACGTTTTTCTGTAGAGAAAATATGGGTCACCTAACAAAGTGGTTTTAATAGAGAGCCTACAGTTTCCTTGAAATATCTTTAATTATCCATTTATAAAATAAAACCAACAAAAACGCCAAAATACACTGGTGGTTTTGCTCCCTCTCACTTTCAGACTGAGCATACTTGAGTATGCTAAAACTTGCCCCATCCAATAAGACTGCAGATCACAGAACAATTTCTGAACAATTCTTTGCCAGCCAAAACAGCAGGGTTGTTGCAAGCTTTTGGAAACAGCTATTAAAATATTGACATTGTCTTCAGAAGTTTCTGGATGGCTGTCCTGTGAAAATGATACTAACCTGTTTCATGGAGGCTGCTTGCGATAACTTCAAAAAAACAGGCTCAAGTGTTGCTGTATTAATTTGAAGAATAAGCACTTTGTTGTAAAACTAACCTTGTTGTGAGACCTCATGTTGTGGAGGGAAAACTGGCTGATGGTTTTTCATTCTCTAAACAGTTGTAGTGCCCTGTTGGAATGTGCCTCTGTCATTCACTACAATGCATGCTAAAAATAAATTTTGCAAACAGCATAGAAAATAAATGGGTGAAACCACGTTGAATGTAATGAATGTGAAACCATTAAACAAGGAATGTGTGGCTAAGTTTTGTGGATTAAGCTTTATCAGGTGTTTGTGGAGACCTCGTTTAAAAAAAAACCCCAAACCTAGATTTATTTGGTAGCTTTTCTTCAAGGAGGCCTTGTATTTGTGTAGTCAGCACCTGTAATTCTAAACCAGCTTGCTGGCATCTCGCATACCTGTGAAAGCTGGCATGAGGTACCCGAGGGTGTGAACGGTTCTCTGCTGGGATGAAACTGGTCACAGTTTGTATGCGCGTGGTAACCGTAAAGGCAGTTTTTAATGAGCTTAGATGTAAATACCTGAAGTTAAGTGATCCTCATGCTTACAGTGGTTTAGTTCAAGCCATTTCTGGTTTGAATGGAGTGAGCAACATTGCCCAGACCTTAATACGACCTAGTGTGCGACAGGTGCTGGTTTTTGTGTTACATACTTGTTTCTTGTACAAGAGACAAAGACGTTCTTCAGATTTTGAAAAACACTGAAATGTTTTAAGCTGTGCTTGTTAAGTTCCTCTAAAACAAGGCTTGATTCTGTGAAATTGTCCAGATTCTGTATGACTTAAATGATTTTGTGTGCTTCTTAAATACCAGAAACTTTGATAACCTTCTTCCTACCTGGGACTAATTTAATCACATTTCTGTAAATGCTGCTGCATAAATCACTATCGACCCCTAATTCTGAAAGGTGATTATGGGTCCAAGTTGTAATGTGTTGCTGAAAGGAGCAGTCTTGCCTGTCCTCCAATTGATGACATCCTGCTGTCTCCTTTACGTTAGCACAAGCGCTTCCTGGTGAGGAGTTTTGTCTTACTAAGTTAACATGATTGCTGGTAGACACAGCTAACAGGAGCACTGTGTATTGAAATAGTCACAGAAATTATTTAAATAAGGCTGCTGAGTCAGTTCAGGAGTTCGGATGTGGATATTCAGATCAAAATGATTGTATGTGGTCATGTGTTTAAGTTTCCTGACAGGTTCTTTTTGAGCTATTAGCAGAAAGAAAGCATCACCTGTTTTTATTTCTGTCTTACCGGTGCTTCTTACAACGCTGTCTTTCCTACGGCAACAGTTGCTTCATCTCTGCAGATCAGCAATGTTTGTTGTCTCGTACGGACTGAAAGTCGGTGCACTGACGTTAAAGTATACCCATCCATTCGCCTCAAATGCTTATTTTAAATTACATGAGGTCTTACCAGTTAATGTAAGAACAGCAGACATTTTGGAATGTGTGTGCTCTGTCATGAGCCATCACTGCCCAGCAGAATCCACTAACGTGATTGTGTCTGGTGTCCCTGTGCAATCCGAAAGCACAGGCAGATGTCTCAGACTGTGATCCACAAGAGACAGCCTGTTCAGATCACCTTTAGAGGTACTTCTTCACAATCTTTTTACTCTTACACTGAAACATCATTTCATTTTTGTAAGGATGGCAGATCAAAGAACAGAAAAGTTTACTTCCGATGCTCGTAACCTGATGAAAATTTAGACACATTTAAATATTGCTGATGGAAACCCTAAGACCAGGGCTGACTTTCTGTCAGTCTTACTGATCTCTTACCTCTGTTAAGATGCAAGGTGAGTGTTTTTAACTCAAATAAAATAACATGAAGTCATTAGGCCAGTAATCAAGATCGTGTAACACCTATGCGGCAGACAGGCACTGCTTCTCCCAGTGCCAGACATACTGTTCCTGACTAAATGTTCTACCAGTATTAACAGCACAATTCACTCCTGCTGCTGACAAAAAACACTTGCACAGGATTAGCTGTTCCACATCACTCTGGAAACCATGGAAAACTGATTAAGGCAGTCATTTCACGTATAGTGTAGTGTGGGCTATAAAGTAGTGATGGCATTGTCGTTTCCGTGAGGGCTTCTTTACGTCTTTCCAAGTGACTGAAGAAGTGCCAAATGCTATTTAAGCAAATGACCAGAAAAGCATCTGGTGGAGCAAAAGGGAAAAAGACATTCTTAACTGTTCCATCTTCATGTGTTGAAACATCTCATGTACTTGAAAAGAAGCAGAGTGCCATTGCTTCAAGGCTCACATTAATTTTTCCTTTTTTTTAGCAAGCTTGTGGAGAGCTCTTTCAGCCACGATTGTTAGTTTCCTTTGTTAAACTTGGCATTTCAGAGCTGTTTGTAAAGAAAGCACTGCTGCAAGACAGAAAACCGTCAAGAGAGACACCAGAGCTGAAGTGCAAAACCAGGCTCTTGCTATCTGCCATGCCGGAGCTGACCCTCTGAGCCTGGGTGTCAAAGCCCTTGCCACCCGCACAGGCAATCTGCACAGCTCTTCCTTCCCGTTTGTCGTCGTCAGAAACACACGAGTCCGCACAGTGGAAGTCTTAAGCTGTTCACGTAGTGACCGACAGCTGAAGCATAAATGTTTTCCACAGCAAGAACTGTCCGTTGCTGCGACCTGCGCTGCTGCACGCGATGGCTGCTGAGCATTTTTGTACGAACACAGCGTCGCATGTGCAGCGGTGCGTTTCACACGGGTGAGCGGCCCTTTTAACGTTTTCAATCTGCTCTTAAAAATATTGACTAGGAACAGATCTGAGCAATTGGAAAGGAAGTAATTTGCTGTTGCTCCCAGGAATTGCCGCTTGAAAGAGATCA